TGAAGATTCAGCAGCTGTTACATGGGCACGTGTCCAAACACAAAGGTGAGGAAACCCTGAAAAAGGTAATTAGCCAGCAGAAGGCTTGGAGGAACGGCAGGAAAGGGGGCTGGTGCCAGGGGCAGCAGTTTCTTCACGTGTCTTTAAAGGGGGCTGCTGCCTCCCTCCCTGAGTATTTCCTGGTCACTGACCTGCACCAGGGACAATGAAAAATACCAAATGTAATCTATTTCCCAGGCTTTTATCACATTCAGAGTGAACAACTGCAGCTACCACAAGCAGTACCACAACAAGCCTAAGTTATTCAGAAGATAAATATTTCAAGAAATAGATTCCTGACCAGCTGTGGCCATAACTGCCTCCAGCAGGAGGGTGGCCTGATGTGAAGGCACAGGCAGCCCCACCCTGGAGAGCTCAGGGGCAGCAGGGGCATCTCACCCACCCCTCTGCCTGACCACAGGGACTCTGCTGCCCACCCAGGACCACCAAGAGCTACTGAACCCTCAGCAGTGGGACCTCTGCAAGGGCACAAAGCACCCAGCACAACCTCGAGGAGCACCAGTGAGACAAGTCCAACAGCTGTCTTTTCTGGCAGTTTATTATGCACAAACAAACGCGCACACAAAGCTGTTAATGATCCTTCCAGGATCACACTGCGAGTCTGTAACAACAAGGAGAATCCATGAGGACACATCCTCTCAGTCCAACTGAAGTGGTTTCTGCCTCTAATATCCTGTGACGTTCAACAATCTCATGAAAAAAAAAAAAGGAAACTACGATGGTAATTTGTGGAATATGTTACTGTTTAATTCCTGCTATCATGAGAACTACGTAAGGCAGTAAAACATCATGAGGTAAAAGAAAAAACCCTGAAACAGTAAAACTGAGTCACTCTGGCACTCAAACCACAAATGAAAAAAGATTATGATTATGGTACCAACTCACAAAAAGTACTCATTAGAAAGTCATCCCCTCTGCAGTCACCACTGCTCCTCTCCTGTTAACACAGTGGAAGGTGATGGTAATGCACATATTTGGGCTGCCTAATATTTTGCTACAGAAGGTGCCTGCATGTACTAAACTAATGCTAAAGAAGTTTCTTAGTGCAGCAGAACAAATAAGGCTCTAATGAAGTGCAGAAGAGGTTCCAGTGAGAAAGTCTGAGTTAGAAGCTCATATATTTCTCATAAAGTAGAAGAGGGCACAAGCTTCCCAACACTACTCCAAACGAGCATAAGACAGCAGAAATCAGCTCTTATTGTGATGTCAGACAGAAGCTTCCACAATACCTGCTTCAGATCAGACTCAGCAACAAATGTCCTTCACTGGTGAAAAAGTCTCCTCTGGGAGAAGGTGCTCAGGATTCAACCCTGCTGGCCAAGCAAGTGGAGTGTTGAAACACACACAACCTTCCTTGGTCTTTTTCAAGATGAAATGAACTCCCAACCACCCCCAAAGCAAACAGGAACTCAAATATACAGCAAAACTTCTCTTACAAGAACTTCTGTCTTCCCTGATCAAGCTTGTTAAACTTAGTCCTCTCTACAGAACATCCATTAAATAAAAGAAGAGCCCATACACTCTGAAAAATGTGTCTGAACAGCCATAGGGAACAGATTCCCAGTGAGTTCCAGTAAGAATGAGAAGAGACAACAAATCCACATTCTGCTCCAAGAGGACTAAAGAAAACAATGTGGTACAAAAGTAAATGTTTTATCAAAACACCAATGTTACACCTCAGAGATTGTTGGTTTGTATGCAATTCCTCTTATTTAATGCTACATAATGCAAATTATTTATTTGATTTGATGATGTCTTGGGTGGCATGTCCATAGTTAAGATATCTTTTTAAAAATTATTAATAATTTTTAAAAAAATATACTGTGATACGTAGAATTTTTCTATTTTAAATTATCTAAATAGCTCAAGAGGCTACTTATTGAAGCATTAGGAAGAGGACAAAACCAAAAAGAGGCAAGCAGAAAAATTGGCAATCCTAATGGATTCTGAAAAAAAGTGACAGTAACTTAAGCTAAATACAGGTTTCCAAAGTCAGCTTAAATCTGTAGCTGAGCTTCCCTTTCCATGAAAACTTCTACACAACGTATATTAATCTGTAAAATGGTTTTATGGTTTCTCTCCATATTCTGGGCTATTACTGTTTTTCTGCAATAGAAATTGGCTTCAACAAGAGCCCAAGAACAAATAAAGCACATGGAGTGTGTCCCTGAAACCTCCCAGCAGCCAGTACTTCAGCCAGGCTGTACCACACTCCTGAAGAGATATGAAACCTTGCCAACCTTCCCCTAAACAGAGCAGAATTACAGCAGAAATAGTGTGGAAAGAAATGAAACACCACCAAAACTGGAGGTTTAAGCCACTTCAGGATGATATGAACTCATCAACAGGAAGGAAACAGATTTTTTTTTTTCTTAACTGGAGCTTAAACAAAGTTTTCTATAGAAAATGGTTTTAATTTTTTTTTTTTTAATGGAAAAAAGTTGTGAGCTTTCAATACTGAGTTTGGAGAGATCTGCACTTGTGACAGCAGTTAGATCCACCCTAATTTAAGGCATGCTACATATTGCTAAAAATTGTAATAACAACTATTCAATCCATGGCTAAATTACAACAGTACTTTTTGGTTCATGCATAATTTTTAAAACTAGTTATTGTTAACAATAATTATATAAATATATATATATAATTAAATCAGAATCTATCAATGAGGAAACAGACCTTTCCCTCCGATCTGTCTGTGAGCCAGAGGGAGAAAGAGGCAGCAACGAGGGAGTGATGGACCAGCAATTCAGGCATGAACAGTAACCTCACTCGAGGAACACCTGTTAGGGTAACACTCAAAGCACTTCCACTCATCCGTTTAGGAATTTATCCACTTGCCACATATCCATTTCAAAGAGCCTATAAAGGGCTCCATTAGCACCTGAAGAGCTCTTGTTTCACACCAGAAGAAAGCGCAGGAGAGATGCTATCTAAGACCGTGAAAACCTCCAAGAAAAAGGAAAGACACTAACATTAACAACCCCAGAAGATCAGAGGAGGAAGGTCAAGAAGGGATAGGCACCCGGCTCTCTGGATTTCAGCTCTCTGTCCACTGGCGACAGCCAGGGGCATCCCTGTGGCTGCGACCCCCAGCTCCGGGAGCGCAGCTGCTGCCCGGGCTAAGAGCATCGCTGATCGCCAGCCCGTGTGCTCAGCCACGCCGGGACACCCGCTGTCACCCCTGACTGAACCCAGTCCCCGGGTACTAAGCTCTGCCAGTGACAAAGCCCTCATAACCAAGTTCAGAACAACTTTCTGTGCCACCGAAGCAGGGTAAGGAGCTCCGCAGTGCTGCCAAGGACACCTGACACGCTCACCTCCAAACTTCGCAGATTTCAGCGAGCCTGGAGTTTGTTTACGGGGGCGCCAGAGCGAGCACAATGCCCACGCCGACATCCGAGCTCTGTGCTCGCGAGGGTCCCGCTCCAGCTAGCGGCGGTGCTCGGGGCACGCAGCCCCCGCTCCGGGGCCAGGCCCGGGCCCTCCGCCGCTCCTCACGGCGCAGGACCCGGCCGGGCTGCGGGGACCCCCGCCCGCGCCGGGCTCCCAGGCAGCGCGGTCACTCGCGGCACCCCAACGTGCCCAGGGCTTAGGGAGCCCAGAGCTCGGCCTGGAGTGCCCGGAGCCCCTCCAGGAGCTGCCCCACGGCCGCCCGGCCCCTCGCCGCGCCTCGGGCCACCGGGCCTGCGCCCCCGCCGAGCCCCTGG